CTAACAAGTCATCGGAACAAACGTAAGACCACTGACAACGGTACGCTTGTCGCCATGTTGTTTCACTTACTTTTGGTTTAGACGTTTTAATTTCTTCATTTATTTATTATTTGTATTTTTGTTGTTTATTGGAGGTCTGTCTTTGCTGGCGGTGACACATTTACGACAAGACATTTTACGTCGTGTTAAAATAGTGGACAAATATACTAGAACATGTGACATTTTACTTTACAGACACGCAGACATTACAAGTGTACTCGTTTTATGGTTATCGATAAATTTTATAGGTAGTCTTGAAAAAAGCTCACTAACAAACTAAGCCCGACAAAAGTTCACCAGGAACAAAAAATGATCGTAGTACCTTACGATAAGGTATACTTAAAAAACCCCAATAGCAATCCAGGTTTTTATATCAAATACCTATCATAGTAGTGGGGGTGTGCGTGATGCGAATGTCAGCTGCGTTTGATAACACTAAAACCAATTCGAAGATTAAAATTTTTTGTAGAAAAGTAAAACTTTACAATTACTATAAGAACAATGGCAGTTGCCGAAAGGAATGATTGATTCTCTCTTTAGCGCGTTAAAAAATTTGAGGCTACAGAACTTAATGAATTATATATGAATTATTCTGAACATATTCGAGATCTCGAGTTGTATTTCATCTAAACAAACAATTAACCTTAAAAGCACTAGCGTTCACCCGCAAGGACTATTTACGGTTGGCTTCAAGAAGATTCTAAAGTTTGAGTGACAAAAAGTGTGTAATCATAAAAAATGTATTCTCACAAATGCGGAACTACATATATATGAAGGTAATGAAATCTAAGCGTTCGGCCGTAGGAATGGATGAGTTTAAACATTGAGCAACAACAAACAAACATAAAGCATTTTTTACGCGTTTATTCATCCATGCAAATATGAGAGCAACACACACACATAAAATTTCGAAAGAGGAATTTTTATCAGCATATTTTACGTACTTGAGGATTTATGCGGAAATCAGAGTACAAAAGCATAGAGATACAAAAATACTGTGTAACGCTTTTAATGCCTTAATATTCATGAGTGTGCTGCAATTGCATGGGAACGGAAGAGAATGCGATGAATAAAAATGCATATTACAAAAATAAAAAGCCAATCTGAATGTTTATTCTTAACAATATGAGCGCATATAAAATTTATTATAGAAAATCAGAGGATGAGAAATAAAAAAAAACACCAACAAGAACGTAGTGAACAAAAGATCTACTGGGCATGAAAGCCAATCTCCCGAAAGCATTAAATACATAAGTGGATACGTGCAGCAGATTTGGTCCGGAAATCACATTTGTATGACGAGATGGAAGAAAGGCGGGCGCAGTATAAACATAAACATCATATACATATATGTATATAATTTAATCTAAATCGTGAGCAATGAGCTGTGCACATGTATATGGACACCCAAATGCTGTGAAGTGCTGCAGTGGGGTGTGGGTGATGCGAATGTCAGCTGCGACACGGCCAGACGGCTCTATCACGAATACATTTTAAAATTTATTATTACACTCTATAAATTGAATTAAAAATAACTAAAAGCTTATCACAACAAGCGGAGGTAGCGAGGGCGGACAGCTGTGCTGATGTATCGCATATGTAAAGCAAATGCGCCATCGACATCGACGATGCAGAGCGTAGCGCAGCGTTTTCGAAAGCGAACTGCATGAATGACATTGCGACTGTGTGATGAAAATCGGAAAAATTCTGTGCGACGCAAAAGGTTATGCTGCGGAAGTCTAGACTTAAACGAAAAGTAAAGTTTTTGATGCTATAACGGCGCATTACCGGAACATTTATAGGAGCAGTAGAATACGCATAATTGGATTGTTTCCTTTATTGAGGGAATCTATAACAGTATATTCATAATTAGTAAACAATTATTAACATTGTCTAGGTTTAAAGATTGGGCGTGAAATTAAAAATGGTAATATAGTTATATGCTTAATATTTAATAAAAAATATAACATTTTTGTAGCAATATTATGTTGTTGTTATTTAGCTTCTAAATGTGTACCTTCCAGAAAGATACGTCGAAGACCCCATAAAAAATATACATTGGTATATACATATGTAAATGATCAGCATGACGAGCTGAGCCGATTTAGCCACGTCTGTATATAGGCGGAGTAGTCCCTCTGTTTTTAAGATAACGACCTGAAATCTTGCATACGTCCTTACAACCCCAAGAAACTGCTCATTTGCCGGAACCGCCGATATCGGACCCCAGTAACAAATAGCTGCCATACAAACTGAACGCTCGAAATTAAATGTTTGTGGACAACCTTTTCATTTGACGAAATACATTTTGGCATGGGTATATTGCCTAAGACAATGATACAATCTCCGAAGAAATTGTTTAGATCTAGTCACTATAGCATATAGCTGCCATACAAACTGACCGATCAAAGTTCTTGTAAGGAAGGTTATATATTTAAAAGATTTGATTATTTGTAAAAACAACTATGAAAAAGTAATTAATTCAGTTGTGTCTGTTGTAATTTAGTTAGTTTTTTTTATGTTTTAATTTTTTTCTATTAAGATTTTAATTCGAGTAATTTGATTTCTTTTGTGTGTGCTACTAATACATATACATACTACTATACTAATACAAATACATATGTTTATGATTTAAAAAAACATTAAAAGCTAAATATACTTTGTTTTGTATATAATATACTAAATTCTTATTATTTCTTTTATTCTCTTGTTTTAATTTTGTTAGAATTTATAAACGATATTTTATAATTTTTACTAATTTAAATACCGATGTTAATTTAATTGGTTTTGCACTCTGCTTTGCTAAATGTTTTGTAGTATTTCAATTGACAGCTGTCATTTTTTTACGTGTATCGCTTTAAGAATTTTGATTGAATGTTTTGGTTTAAATGAGCGCCATTGTACACATATGTATGTAAATATATGTAAATACATACATACTTGTATAACCAGTTGTAAATGCTTACATGAGCTACTTGCTGTGGTTTCCATTTTACATATTGTAAGTTGTGGTTGGGTTTGCAAAAATGGTTAAAGCTACCTACTTATTTAAAGTGTGATCGAATATGTATATGCACATTAGGAATTAACGAACACCCTAATGCACATACATATGTGTACACATATAAGAGTGTAAACTGACTTTCTTAATTAAAGATGATATAACGATAACCACAAAAGGCAAAACGTGAGACAGAATAATATGCATACTTACATGCATACATACATACATACATACATAGATATATATACATACATACATACATATACATATATATTGTAATGCAAGCCCTATGTTTATTTCTTATATGTAATTCAGTAATATTAGCTGGAAACAATCAACTCTTGGACTTTGCACAGTACTGAGCAAATCAGAGCTTTGCTTAACGGGGAGTCTAACGATTGGCGTATACTTTTATAGATGAGTGCACGTTCTCAAACACCGACGACTGTTTGTTGTTTCTGTGTAATCAATTAATAATAAAAGCGGAGTGGCGCGTGCTCCTGATAAGCCTGCAGCCATGCGATTGTTTTCGTAAATAAGTCTCAAAATATTAAAATTGAAAAATAAAATAAAATTTCGAACGCTTGCCAACTATAATTTTGTATTTGTATGTATTTAGTTTCAAAATGTCTATAATTTAGCTCGTTCCAAAAACATTTCATGTATTAGCACTAGCAACAATGATTCAAATATGCATCAGAAAAATAATTCTAGAAATAATTCAGCATTTATGCATAGGTATACTTGTAGTAAGTTACTGTCGAAAAGTATATACTTGTATATACATATGTTCAAGACATGAATCGCATCATTTCTAATTAATTTCTTCGTTTGTGTTTACTATTTTTGTTGTCAGACTTGTTTTAACATGGTTAATGGATCAAATCTTATTAGTTCAGTCATTATTATATTATATATACATAAACTTTTCGATTAATTTTTGTTGTGCTTTGTAGATCCTTTTTTTCAAATATTTTAAAGTAATGTTTTTTTTTAACTTTTATTGTGTATGCTAATTTTCTAACGCAAGCTCAGCGACGTAAACGCTACAAAACATCGTCTAGACTCAGATACATACAATTGTATATATCTCGCCTCGTATACGGTGTAAATACATTATTGCGTAAATGGCACTGCTTTGAATATGGGAAGATATGAGCAAATGTAAATTAAAGTCGATTAACTGTCTGTTAAAAGCAAATTTACCTGGCATTGTTTTGCTTTTGGTTTGGAGTGCTTGATTTTGGCTCTGCTACTTTGCGTTTTCAACAAATATTTTGTCGTGTCGGCGAGTTCATTGCATTTGAATGGAATTCGATAACAAACCATATATGTATGTAAATGGCACTAATAACATCGTTTACGACACCCGATAGTAAAACGATATCGTGAAGCAATAGATGCGTTGACGTCGTTTTCGTTCGTTGAATGCCAACACGCACAAAATGTCAATTGACGACTGTCAATCGAATGCAAATTTCTGTGAGCGTGCGAGCAATCAGATACATATGTACGTAAAAACGTCGACAAGAAATGAAAAATAAAAATTGCGATTTTATTATTATAAGTTATTTATTTGTTCACATTCAATGTATCGGAATGTTTATTGCAATGCCCGAATTTTTTAAACTGTATATAAATATATTATATCATTAAAGAAATGTACTGGTGAACGGCTATAAGAGAGATACAGTTTAAACGAATAACAAAGCAACTGATAAAAAAAACTTATTTAAAAGATATATCTTAAAATTGAACATAGTTTGTATTATAAATTTTCTTGAATTGCTGGTTGTATTCTAGTGACAACTCGGTGAAAATTTTATTTTTATCCTTGAGGCTTTTATCGAGCTACTTCATATAATTTTTTACTTAAAACTTTCAAACTTAAGAGTTTTCTGACCAAATTTTAAATGAGATCATTTTTTGTTCGACCACCAACTTGAAATAGAGAGTCTAAATGTTTACGGTATTTATTAAGCATTTTCTATACTTCGTTTCGCATACAAATACATACGCAATAGCAATTCAGCACAATAGGTACACACATCTTAAAGTACAATAAAATCTTTACGAAACATATGCACAGAAAGTGTGTAATTAATATATTTCAAAAGAAAATTACAACGATTAGTTGCAACTCAATTCATTTTGTTGAGCTCATTAAAAATTCCACCATATATTTGGTCTAACAGGTTTTCGCTCTCCCCTTCCTTGATCAGGCCGCGGTATCTTTTGACGATTGCGCAACTTTCTTTCAATATTGCGTTTGGTACTAAGCGATTGGGGACAATAGTCGAACTGTAAAGAACTGGTTGGTAATAATTTTAAATCGCGCTGTAACTTCTCTTCATCACGTATCGATTTTAGCACCTCCTAGGCGTGAGAGATGGAAAAAATAATTGCATGTGAAAATTTTATGGAAAACTTTTCGGACAAATTGTAAAACAGATTTACAGTTCTGCATTGCGTTTTGATACCTTTTGCGTGTAGCTTGCCTTTTCTTCGGGTGCCAGACGTTTCCACGACTTGGCGCCTTCACGCAAGATGCGCGCGAACCCGTAACGTGGATGCTTGCTTTTGAAGTGTCGCAAATAATTCAAATACGGATGTCGCGTGAGTTGACGTTTGCTATTTTCAAAAGCACGCCCAAAGTTCGGAGCAATCGTTTTGCCAAATTTTAATGACATTTTGCGCAATTTCTCCTGTTCGCGTTCGATTCTTCGGCGTTCGCGACTTCGTTTGCTACACACTTTTCGGCGATTGCCTGCGCGTTTTCGACCTTGCGGTTTTCTACGATTGCGAATCATTGCTGTTTTTTTTTTTTTTAATATTTAAATTTTTATAGTTATACTAAGACTTTTGCGAAGAATTATAAATGAATTAATACACTGAAAGAATTTGTGAGTTTTCGAAAAATTCAAAGAAAATATATAAAATTATTAAAATATAATGGATTTCTCATGACTCTCTGTGGCTGTAGTTATTCCCAAAGAGCGTTGACTTTTTGACTTGGGAATTTCAAGATCGATTAAAGCAATAAGTGAACTTATCTTTGGAATAGTATTAGTTCTCCCGAATATATAAATACATATCAAATTTGACCCGGATTTTTTTCTTAGATTGATATAACAATTTTGATGTTCGTGTGAATTTAAGAGTCGAAAAGTTTATCTTTAAAATCGAAAAAGTTGAAGAAACAGTGCCTGAAAATTGCCATATTGGCTTTAGAAAAATAGCATCTCTTATGGATCGACCAACCATCATGTTTTGGGTATGAAGCGTGTCAATGCTAGTCTCGTACCAAAAAACCTGAATTTAATGCAGAAACGACGTCGAATAGCGGTCGCAAAGGTATGCTTGACAATCTAACTGAAGACTCTACCATCTTCAAATGCATAATTACTGGTGAGGAGACGTGGGTGTATATATATAACGTCGAAACTGTCCAACAATTTGGCGAATGGCGATCCAAAAATCGCTGAAGGCACTGAAGTCCATTCTCCCCAAGCTTATGACAAGTGTATGAAAAATTGGATTAAGCCATGGCATGTTTGTATTGGCGAAGAGATTTGTTATGTGAAAATTTTGTTTTTGTCAGTCCGGGTCAAATTTGATCATATATATATATATATAAAGCATTTAAAATAAATAAGATAAACAAAATCTAAACTTTATTAGCATTTCAAGGATTTTCTAGTGTGTCTGTTAAATATTGGATCATTAAACTGGCAGGTGAGTTCGTCGAGAGGATAAATTCAAGTACACTTCCACAAACTGAGTAAAGTATTTATGTTATTATGAGAAAACAAATACGAAAAATGGCGTTGTCGAACTTTTTGTAAAATTAATTAACGGTTATTTAAAGTTAAAATAATTTGACGAGAGTAGGTTCTATAAGAGAATTTGAAGATAAATTCTTATGTATTTAAAAAATTGTAAAGATAGTAAAAAAAATAGTTTTAATACTATTAACTAGAATAAATATCGATATCACAAAACAATTATATTTATATTTAACTACAATAAGGTTACATTTTACTTTTCTTCCAAATCTACAATAGCGTACAGCTCTTTATATGTGCTTTTTCACTTCTCTTTAAGTGACTTATTTCACCCTCAATTGCATATAGATCGTGACAAATCTCGCTTTCAGTACATTCTATTTTATTTTTATTTAATCCACTCGCACTTTGCTTTTGCTGTATAAAAATGTATGGTATATAGAAAAGTATATGGTGTTCCACCTCATATGTGATTGTGCAAGTGAAAAGGCAACAAACACTGTGCAAAAAGGGGTTCCACGCATCAAAGTCATGATGCATTAAAATAAATTCTTATTTATGAGGAGAGTAAATTAAAGACTAAATGTATTTATGTGAGTATTCTTGCAGTTTAATCATGTATGCTTAAGAACCTAAGCATCTGGCAACGATGCCCTTATTGTGGATTCATCAAGTTATATTAAATTGTCATTGGCTCTTTTAAATGTCTGGTGTTTTCAACGATGAGGTAGTATTTTAAAAATAACTAGCACATTTTGTTATCACGAGCGAAGACAAAGAAACACCTAAGTGGAGGGTTGTTGCATACATATGTACGAGTAAATACATATGTATGAATCTATATGATAATGTGCAAACAAATAAATCGGTCGTTGATATTTTTTAAATTTATTTCTTTAAAAGCCAATTTGACACTGAATCAAAAGATGATAGGCATAAATTGGGAATATTAACATCAATGTTCCGTAATAAATTAAAAACTCATTGTTATTATTAAAGGGATTTTTATTGTGAATATTGATTTTACTTACTTTAAGTTAAGCACATTTGTCTTATGTCAAGTGGTCGGTATCAGAAAATCTTTCCTTCCAAATGGTTCCAATTTTTATCTAAACTAACTTTCTATATTTATATGATTTGCCAAAAGTTCGCTTATATAAAATAGTTACCAATTCCTTAAAGAGGCATATTATTTCCCAATTAATTTTACGATTTTTTTTGTCTTTCTGTAAAAGCCCCTACAAAAAAATCACAAGTTCACACCAAATTTGAAGTTTTACGTAGCAAAACAGAAATGAAACGTTTGACATTCTCGTAATCCCAACCTACGTTTTTCCGTGTTAAACTGCTCCAGATAAATATATATGTTTATTGGTTGCAAAAAGTAAGCGAAGCCATAAAACAACCAAAGACAGAGGTAACGACTCGCTCTTCGCCATAAAATATGCATGCAAACATGTTTCGAACCATTCACTTTGCGGTTTCGTATCAAAAATTCACAACCAACAATTCGCAATCAGCATAAACACCGCTAACCACGAGCTATTACCTCAAACGGTAGTTGCGTAGATGCACATACTCGTACATGTGTGTGTGTGCCTGTGTGTATATGTGCGAATAGCCAGGCAGTTGCGTCAACTTTTCAAAAACATTAAATGATATTATAGAGTTAGTAAAAAATGAAAACGAGTTTGACGTTTGGCACAAAAGCCAAAACAAAAGTGGCAAACCAAATCGCATAACAACTTGTCGTACAAAAACGGCAGGAAAAAATAGATATACAAACAAAAGTGCAGTTGAAAATAATATTTAAGCAATAAAAAGCAAGTCAACATTTTAATTGTGCTTCATTTTGAATGCTGGAAACGTTAACTAGTTCACAAGACAACAACAACAAAAGCAATAACGAAAAAACGTTAACCAAATTGCTAAAAATAAATTAAATACAAAATAGCAAACATTCAAACAAAAATGGTGACGACAACAAAATAATATACGAGTGTGTGTCTTGAATTTTTATGTGATTGCTGCGTGTTTGCAAAAAAAATTCAGTATTTATGCATCTACCTATGTAAGTATTTCGCTTTTTGGCATTCCGCATAACTTTTGATTGTGTTTCTGGTTTAACTTTTCGTTTTTGTTGTTACCTTTACACACATCTTTTCATATGCTATTTGAATATTTGAACCAACACACATACAGTATATAAATATGTATAAAAGTACGTATAATATATAAATAAATTATTTATATATATCGCTGTCAGTTTATCGGCGCTAAATTAATATTTGATAAATAGTTGAGTTGGAACTGAGTAACAGTAGGGCGCAGCGATAGCAAGTGGCAAAAGTAGCAAAGCGACGATCGTAAAAGCAACTCAGAGCAAAATTCAAAATCGCTTCTTCACGTAAAATGTTCCCGAAGGCAGCACACTCGAATGTCTGTTTTCGCATTCGCTGATGCTGAATTGCCTCGCATAATATAATAATTGATCTTCGCCAGTTTAGCCTCTTGGGCGTCAGTTGAGAGGGACAAGATTAATCTATGAGTTTGTTATTATTAGATCGATTTGTGGCAGATATATTCAAAACAACAAATAGTAAATTTATTCATATATACTATACTTGTAAATAATCGAGAGCAGCTGGCCATATAATGTGTGTAACCAGAAATCAGGCGCACTTCCACATCTGCCGCGCGTCAAAGCGATTCAAAGCCAATTTTTCGACTTAAATAATACACATTAAAATCTTTGCCTTCAATCGATAAATTAACTATTTGAATGCTACAATTTTCAAATTTACATAAACAAAACGAGCATACTTGCTGCAATAGCAATCAGTCTGACATCTGCTAGACACAATTCCATGCAATTACAATACTTGCGCACAACTTGGAAAATGTGTACACTAAAATATCCCCCTTCATACCTTTTCATCAATAAGTAAACATTACGTCCAATCTTTCAAATTCAAAATACCTGGAAGTAGAAGAAAAGAGTATGCATACAGTTAATAAAAAAAACATTAACAGTAACGAAATTATGTTTAAAAGTTAAATAATTCAGCAATTTCGAAGAAAGTTTTAGTACCAAAAATGTTTGCTGGGGATGTAAATATTGGGGATTGTTTTTCCTCATACTGAAGGTTTAATGGTGTAAAAACAATTTAAATGTAGATTACAGCTATAAACAATTGGGAGCTTATTATAAACGATAGCAATAGCAGAAATTTTTCGAAAATAAAAGTTTGCCTATGCTCTATCTGTAGTTTTAAGCGTCCCTGAGGCAGTAGTATCGAAATTATTCACGATCTTTGACAAGCATTTCCAAAAAATAATATAGAAAGAAATAGAAACCATTGACTTTGGTCCAGAACATTCCGCAGAATGATCTACATATTTTATAGTCAAAATTGTTTGGCGAAACATATTTTATCCTACATATACATACATATGTATATTTCACTGTTCGTCCCTTGAAGTAATTCACGAATAACCAAAATAAGAGACCCTATGGTCTGTGAGCAGAATGACTTAATCGTATTGATGTTTAAAATAAATAAAAAATGTTAACTTTGGTTGCACCGAAGCGGGAATACCCTTTGCAAATAACGATGTTTCCATACAGCAACTTGATTTTGGTCGTTCAGTTCGTAGATTTGTTATAGAAAACAAACTATACTAAATTTCGTAAAGATATCTCGTCAAATACAAAATATTGCCATACAAGGACTTGACAGCGTTTGTTCAGTTCGTATGGCAGCTATATGCTATAGTGATCCGATCTGAACAATTTGTTCGTAGGCTGTACCGTTGTCTTTAACAATAATACATGCCAAATTTGGTGGAGATATGTTGCCGAATGATAGAGCTTTTCATACAAGCACTTTAATTCGATCGTTCAGTTTGTATGACAGCTATATGCTGTAGTGGTTCGATTTCGGCGATTCTGACAAATGAGCAGCTTCATGTGGAGAAAAAGACGTGTGCAAAATTCCAGATGGATAACTTGAAAAATGAGGGACTTGTTCGCGTATATACAGACAAACAGACAGACGGACCTGGCTAAATCGACTTAACTAATCATGCTGATCATTTAGATAAATATAAATATAAAATTATAGGGTCTCGGACGTTTCCTTTTGGGTTTTACAAACATTGTGGCAAACTTATTATACCCTGTTCAGGGTATAAAAAAAACACGCCTCCTTCTCACAGAAACTTTATTCTTAACTTCATGTAAAATAAAATGTTTTCGCTGAAATAAATGAATATTCGTCAACACTTTTAAGGCAAATGCCTGAAATGTCAATTACTTGATTGAAAGTATGATTTCAGTCTTTGTCCATAAAAGTTCCAACCATAAAAGCTAGAAATTGCAAAATCATTTATATGAATTTAGAATACTGCACGGCGACAAAAACCGGCAACAATTTACTTATTAAGCAACTTGCCAACTTGCAACCTATAATGTTAAGAGAACATGGCTATACAAATTTGGAGCCAAAAACCGGCAAAAGCCTTCGGCAACCGGCACACTAAAGAACGCGGAGTTGGAGCAGAAATGGCAATAAAAACTTTATTTGCAAACACATAAATATTTTAACTTTTAAACTTCCAGCGAATAGCCAAGTAGGAGAAGCAGTAAAATATTCTAAATTCAGGTCGCTTCAAATTTGCAAAAGATAACATACAAAGATCGACCATCTGCTAATAAGCAACCTGATGTTACACTTGTACTCACGCCCCTGTATATGTATGAATTTACAAGTATG